CATATTATACACGCGTTGCAAGCTCCATAAGAGAGGGATGATTGATGTCTTACTCGTTTTTTATTCTTGGCACTGGGCCTGGTGCTCATTATAAGCTTGCTGAAAGGATATAACTGGCCTGTCTTTCCCCTTTCCTCCTCAGTGATTTACACATAAGCCTGGCCAGTTGTCAGATTTTAGTTTTATTAAGGCTCATTTTGCTTTGTTTTCAATTTTCCAACAGTGTTAAAATCAACCCACAAATTTGAGAGAAACTAACGATCAGAACTTATGTCACATGTTGAAGGCCTGGGAGGAAGCTACCCAGTGATCCTGTCATGCTTTCTGCTGCTCTGACTTGATGGGACAAAATATCACCCATCATTTCTTCAGCAAAGACCGCCTGGGCCACTAAAGATAGTCACAGGGCCAAGGGCTGGCCTTGTATCACCCCTGCTGCTCCGGGATTTAGGCCTGTGAGAGCAATGTGGCTTTCTGTTCTGGGCCTGAATTCCTGCAATTGGGAGGGCAGAGCCCTCAGTCCCTTCCACAGTTGTGTAAAACCAATTCTCTTGTATAACCTGGTGGTGTCTTTTTGGCAGATTTCTTTGTAGAAATTATTTCTTTGCTGGGTTACACAATGTTAATAAGGATAATTCCCATTTGTCCTCTGATGGTAGCAATGCTCTGTGGTTATTGAGGACATCTTCCTTGCTTTTCTTACCAAGAATTATCTGAAAAGAACACTAGCATTAGAGCCACTTGACTGTATGGTTTATAATAGAGCACAATTATAGTGGTTTTACCATCCTAAACTGGATTTCATGTATTTAAATGATCGAACCCTGGGTAAACCTAAACTCTCCTGTCCTCTTATACAGGACCAGAGATTGCTAACCACCCATCTGTGTGTTATTACTACGCAGCATGCCACCTATATAATCAGTCCATCCTTCTCAGTAATACTTTGAAAGGAAAACAAGTGTATTCCATAATCAAATAGCATTGCAAATAGAGCTAGAAAATGCAACAGTGTTGTTCCAGGAACCCCAAGACATGTAAACAAGGTGTTTGTTCTTGGAGCTGGACTTATCTGTGTTTATACTTGAGGCTTCAGAAGACCTCAAAAGCAGTTAACCAGCATCCTCGGGCCAGCCAGATGCCAGTGGAAGAGGAAGCTGCCGAGCCAGCCAGAACAGGTAGTGAGGCCCTGGTGGTGAGCAGCCCCTGATCCTCTCCAGGTGTCTGCATGTCTGCACCTTCCTGGATGAGGTGTGCGATGATCCAGTTCTATATCCATGTGATTTCCTTTTGTGTGTCACACTGCCCTATCTTGGCTCACCTTCACTCATTCACGTGAGTTGGCCAGCAGGTAGCTCTCCACCTTCGCACAGCAGTCTCCTCCTACTGCCAACTCAGGAGCCCTGCCATTGAGTTCTTATCCAGTGGCTCTCTCAGGCCACCTCTGTGAACCAGCTGTCTCTATTTTTCCCATCTGTCTCATTGTTCTTCAGGGGAACTGCCTGTTTTAGTCTCCATTTAGAAACATATCACTTCTTTGTTTATTTGAACAAAACTGTCTCTGACTTTGCCTGTTCTCTACAGCATCCCAGAATCTGGGCTACACCTGAGTCTTTGCTATAAACAGGCTTTGGCTTCTCTCTCTTGGCTCTAGTTCTCTAATTGCCCTGACAGTTCTTCCTGTGCTCTGGAAGTCCCATGAATTTTCCCTCTCTAGTCAGTAAATGCTTTGGCTCTACCTCCACCTGGACCCAAGTCCAGAGTCCCACTTCCTTGATGGTTGGTGCTGCCTCAATGGGCAAGGACCACAGTCCTGACAAATCTTGCCCAAGGCTTCATGAGGAGGTGGAACTCTTAGGTCATACCTTCAGGGGCAACCCTTTTCCTTAACAGTTTGGTTCTTTGCTTGATTGAGCTGCTTTGTTTTGGCTGCCTTTGAAAAGGCACCTGTCCCAATCTCTGGGGCTTTCCTTGTCTTCATGGCTGTTTATTCTCATTACATTGTTTTTAAGGAGAGGCAATTTAGTCCCTGACAAGTGGTCATCCAGGAACAAAGAGCTCAGATTAGAGCACCTGATCAAATTATGCTGGTGTTTCTAGAGCCTAATTCAATCAAAAGCACTGCACAATGAATAGAGAGAAAGCCAGACTCTGTCCCCAAAGAAGCTACCAACTGGGGTCATGTGCTCTGGAGAAAAGTCCCATCCAGGGGCCTTGCTCTCCATTGACCTTGTTCAGCAAACTAAGACCACAGGATGAAGGCACCTCCTCTAGGCATGGATTGGGACTGCTCAGCTGTTTGAAGGCCTGTGTGGCTCTCAGGATGTTTGAGGTGACTGGGAAAGAGACGACTTTAGAAACAGTTCAGTTTGGACAGACTGGCCAAGTGCTCAGGCTCACTAGTAATAGTCTTTATGTGGCAAGAGCTGGGTGGGCACCACAAACTTCTGGAGCTTTAGAAACAAGGAAAAAAGTGAATTTCATTGAAGGGCTTGTAAAAGAAACCACGGCCAGTTTTTCTTTTTTTTTCCTTAAGACCCCAAGGATCAAGGTCTCCGATTACTTTTAAACAAAGCAAGTACTACCTCCCTGCCAAAAAAACCCCAACATACCCAAATACCAAGTTGCACTGTGCAGCGGCCATGGGCCAGGCAGGAGACAGAGCCTGTGATGTATAAACACCTACATCATGGAGGCTCCTGCCCCAAGCACCTCCCAAGCCACAGATTGTTTCTCGTGTTCAGGTTACAGGAAGAGGCCTAGGTAGGGAATCTGCCCATGGAGCCCTTCTCTCTGCCACTTGGGTGGCCATGAGCTGGCCATGGTAGCCTAGGAGCAGGGAGAACAGGACACTCTGTCCTTGGGAATAGCTCCCTGCATGCCTGCTCTGCTTACCCTAATAGCAGTCCAGAGCCATCTGGGAAAGCCAGATCAAGGACACACACAGGGGCCAGCCTCACATCAGGGAGGCTTTACAGGCTCCATGTGAGATAGCAGGATAGTAGGGAAGGGGCATAGGCTGCTGGATCTTGGGGGATCAGCTAGACTCTGGCCAGAGGACAGGAGAAAGGAAGGAGTAAAACCTCCACCTGCAGCCTCAAGTCTGGTTCTCCAGGGTGTCAAATGCCCCAGAAGCATATTCCTGGTCCTCTGTTGGCATCTCACATTGGACAGGACTGTTCTGAGGTTTCAGTGGCCATGGTGAACTTCATGGGAACAGGCTCTTCTGTGTGTCAGGCGGGGTGGCCACTATCTGCTTCCAGTGTGAGTTAGAACCAACACTCCTCCGCCAAACAGATACACACAAGTATCTGTTGAGATCAGACCACCACCAGAGAAGAGGGTTTATGTAAACAGAGACTTTCTTTAGATGGAGGACCTGATTGGGAGAAAGGGGAAGAGCTGTTAAGAACTTGGAAGCATCAGGCTGGGGGTGGCCCAGAGAAGATGTCATAACTGGGTTCCTCTGCTCACTCAAGAAGGTGGATTTATGTGAGACCCCCCCTGGGAGGTCCCCAGTAGGCCAACTGTGGGATTTTACCTTAGATGTCTGGGCACTAATTCAGACTCACTGAGGATTCCTACCTAACCCACCCCTTCTGTCCCCAGTAGTGACTTACTAGATCATAGTCCCCTGGTTGTGTGAAGAAGAGAAGGGAGGCAGGTATGGTAGAGGAGTTTGTCTAGTAGTACCAAACAAAACCAGAACCAAATCATGATAACAGAGTGGGTGGGGTGGGGGAGAAGGCTGGTGGCAAATTCCTAAGGAAAATGAGCAGGTACCATAGTAGACAACAGCCTGCCACAGAGGCTGATTCTCAGCCTTCCTCCTCTTCCCTTTTTGGCCACACCGTATTAAAAACTAGTCTTTTTCTAGCAAAGAAACTGTTGTGGTAAAGGAGCATGGGAAGGAAGAATCACAGTATGAATCTCTAGGTAGGCATTCCCTTTGCTCCCTCAGGCAGTCACCTGAGCCAAGGGTGACCACCCTTAGAAGGGTTGCAGAAGCCCTGCCTCACCAACCAAACAAAAGTTGAGTTTCTGTCAACACCTATCAGACCCAGCAGAGTTAGACTCTAATTTCTAATCTTTTCCTCTCCCTTTTAATTGGAAATCCTGTCGACCCAGGACTAAGTGTGGGTATGTGGCCAACCGGCCGTGCATGCTGCAGCTGGGTGACCCCTGTGATTCTCAGTGTGATCTGGGCCTGTGATATTTCCAGCTCTGCTTCTCTGTGCTGTTGCTCTGGCTCTGGACCCCTCCTCACTGAGTCTCACCTTCAAATCACTCTCTAATTCAAAAATGAACTGCCAATCGTGTTCTTCTAATGAAAAACCTAATCATTCTACAGCATGTGTACAAAGAATCTACTTACGACCTTCATGGGAGGGAATGGTGGGAGGGCATTGCCTGAAAACAAATGTAAGCCCAATGTGGAGGTCAGATGACTGTCCATGTGACCTTGGCAATGGGCTTGATTGTTTGGGACCCCAAAGGAACTTGGGGATAAAACTGATTGATAGACATTCCAATGGGCCTCAACTCCAGGAAGCAAAGATGGAGTGAGTTCTTATTCTGTGGTCCAGGGTTTCTCAAGTGTGGTTCATGTACCATGTGCATCAGAATCAGCTGGAGGTGCTTCGTAAAATGCAGATTCCTAGGCCCTATGCCAAATAAATTAGATCTGGGTCTCTGAGAGTTGGGGGCTTTTATTTGTTTTTGTTTTTTTGTTTTTTAAATCTACATTTTGAACAAGCTTTCCAGATGATTCTTGTGCAGGTTTGAGAAACCCTGCTAGAAACCACTACATTGCAAATGGCTCCCTTTAAGTACTCCAGCCAGTCCCACTGAGCCACAGACGAAAATCTGAGGCCAGAGATGGGGAAGTTTTGTCTTTCTGAGAATGATTATGTAGCTGGGACATGATTACACTCATCTACTGTGGGATGAGATAAAGGGGAGGGAGGGATGTAACTTGTTGTCCACTGCCTCTTCACCAGGCGTCATCCTTTCAGTGGCCTTGGCTGGCATTCTTGGCATCTGTATTGTCCTGGCAGTGTCCATTTGGCTTTTCAGAAGGAAGAAGAGGTAAGCTGGTTTGGATTCGTATGTCCTTTATGATTGGTCCATCTGGGAAGACAGCCTTGCAGAAGGAAGAGCCCCTGACATTTGAATCAACACAGCCTAGTAGGGCTGGTCCCACACATCCTTGCCCCAGCCTCCTTTGCAGAAGACACTGATTGTTCAAGGGTCACTGTGCTCAGATTTGCTGCCATGGCTGATTAGCTGTGTGACCTTGGACAACAGGCTGGAGTTGGGTTTTGCCTAAACACAAGCAGCTATTCTTACTAAGACTTTTCCATCTGGTTTTCCTTCTATAAATCCAAAAAGAAAAAAATGAAGGAAAACCTCATGTCTCACATTAGTAATAAGTACTCTTGGTCCATAGTTTGTCTTTTCCTAAAACATAATTTATTCTTCCTGGTATGAAAGATAAAAAGGTTTCCAGGAATTATGAAGGAATAATGGGACTTCCTTAAAACTGCAGGTCTGATATTTAAAGACCAGTTGGAAAATGAAGAGGTTCCATTTTGGTTAATGCTTTATTTGGGGGCATTCTCTCCTAAGGGGAACAGAATTGGGAAAGATCCCAAATAGTAAAATCTGATTTCTAAAATTGTAAAATTCTAAAAGACTGTTCTCTTGCTCCTTCCCCTGATTTTTTAACAATACTTGTTTGTTTTTATTGTTCCAGTAGCAAAAAAGGTGACAAGGGAGTCATTTATAAACCAGCCATTAAGAAGGAGACCGAGGCCCATGCCTGAAATCCGTGGCACTCCCAGATGTCCAAGGAAGGAACTTGTTTTGGACACCACATACTTTGGCATATGTTCTTTGGAGTTCAAGGTGTTCTTTGGAGCTCAACCTACAAACACCCCAGACCTTTTGGGGGCCTCCAATTGGGCTTGCCACTGCCTGGTGCCACTATCACTCCCATTGTGATCCATAGATGGGATGACCAGAAGGTGGGAACCTGGAACTGACTGCTCTGTGTGAGACAGCTGTGCTGTCTGGATTCTGGGTCACAAAACAAGCCTCCTGCTAGCGACCTATTACTAGTTGGAAAACACTTCCATCTGGGGTCTCACTTGGTATGCTCTCAAGTGTCCTGGAAATTCGTCTTATTCTCCCAGCTTCCAGGCTAGAATGTATACTCTCTGTTTAGGCATTGCTTTTGAAACTCAGTTTCTTTCCTTCCTCCTTTGGATTTCCTTCTGCTCAGATAAACCTTCAGTCCTCACGGAAGAATTGAGACAGGAAGGATCAGGATGTCAGAAAGAAATGAAAACAAGAGATATACTGTGTGATGTAGTGGGGGAATTTTCATATTCCTGTTCCTTGGGTCAGAGACACTGATTGGACCTTAGAATACGGCAGTCTCAAGTTCCATTTCTTGGTGGGGATGAAAGGGTAACAGAAAGAAGAGAGAAAAAAGAGGGGGAAAAGTAATGGGAAGACAGACTCTGGGAGAGTTTCTGTGAAGTCAGCACTGGAATCACAAGTCACCTCACGGCCACCATGTGAGAAGGACTGAATGTTAAGTTCAACCTACCCTCCCATCAGTGAGGCAGTTGTGTTTTATACTCTACAAGTTTTATAAATAAGTGTTCCTTGAAAATGAGTTGCTTCCTGTCTCCTAGAGTAGATGTAAGTTCTGAGATGATCTGCTTTTGAACCTACAGAAAATAGGCAGAAGCAAAATGATTGTAGAAATTTGTCTCTTTTGCCCAGATATCTTTCTCCCACTTCTGTGACTCCCTTACTGCCAACCTGGAATCAGGGTCTGTCTCTTCCTCTGACTTTGAAGGTTTCTAATCATGCTTGGTTGAAATATAGTTTCATGCTACAAGAGCAGGAAGCTATCTGTGCAGGGGCTAGCATGGTCCTGGTATTTAAGGACCAATATTAATGGAATGTTGCTAAGATTCTGCATTGTTCTCCCCCCCACCCAAGTCACAAAGACTAAGAAGACAATTCTTTCCTCATTTTCCTCCCATACAGATGGGATCCTTGTAACAGTCAGTTCCATGACTGAGAAGGAGCCTCAACCACTAGCCCCTGATAGCTAGTTTCCTGCTTGTAGTTCACAGGGAACTTTCTGCTTCACAGTCTCATTTTGACAGCATAGAATATCCTCTCTTGAAGCACAAGTTTCTTTATAATATCTTCCTCATTCTACTTCTCCCTCCGACTTGAAAAATTCTTTTTGTCACTGCCATAACTTTTCATAATGACAGCAAGTCCTATGTCTTTGTAGCCTGTTTTGCTAGGCAAGTTTATAAGTGACCTCCCGGGGACTCAGATGTGTGTCTGCGTGTGTGTGCACGTGAACATGTGAGACTTATGACAGCCTTGGAACCAGGTGTGGTGTCCCACCTTGCCATTACATGCCTGTGCATTATCAAATGACAGAAAAGACAACCCTCATGACCAAGCAACATGAAATAGGTGATTTCTTGGCCTTGGTCCAAAATTGCCAATCAGAAACTAGTAAAAACCACTCCAAAGCAGCTGGATTGTCTTTCCAAAAAAAACCCCTTCTGTATACATGAATGAGTTTTATGAGAGAACACAGAGATCATTGTACCTGGTACAAGGGCAGGCTTTTGAAAGGGAGACTCACTGGAAGGTGAAAATGGTGGCTTTTCTCCTTCCCTCTTCCCTGTCAGCATGGTCCAGGTACTCAGCCCTCATGGCTGAGATGAAACAAAGCCAGAAAAAATGCTCCAAGAATCAATGCTGTCAACTTCTTTGCTAATCCTGCAGGACTCCTGAAGATCCAGCTTTCCTCAGATTCTTACTCATTCTACTGACACGAGCTGTCACTGCAGGAAACCAGTGCTGTCATGTGTGACGCACAGCTATCCTACACTTGCCACTTAACTCTGTTGAGTGGTGGGTGCCTGGGAGGCTCCAGTGGGTATTGTGTTAGGCACATGACAGGTGGAGCCCACAGAAACAAGGCATAGGCTGGGGGAGTGACACAGGGAAGTCCCTGGCTTCTCCAGTCTTTCCTTTGCCTCTCACTAAAGGGGGATCTCGAGCATCTTTGATTTGCCTCTTTAGTATCATCTGGTAAAAACCTGTATGAGTTGCTTTAAATACTAGAGTTTCTAGTATTTGCTATGCTGACTCCCCTAATCTCATTTCAAGTTCAGATCCTAAATTCCACTCCCTTGTGGGACTCTATTAAGACCTCGTGACAGGCCCTTGGGAAGCACTGGGGTCTGTAGCACCCCTTAGTCCCTGTGCCTGGGACCATAGGCCACCGTGGTGATGGTCTGTTGAGCACTTCCATATTTATTGTCACAATGATTGTAATGCAGACATATCTGTAAGTATAAGAAATGATAAATAAAATGTTTTTCACATCAGACCAATTTTTGTTTTGGCCGGGGGAGGTGCAATTAAAAGCATTACTATTTGCAAAGTGCTTTGTAGCACCCTGTTATGGTGATGAGTAACAAATGAGAACAGTCATTGTCATTGGCATCCAGGTCTTAGAATCTGGCTCCAAAGAAAAATACACAGATGGACTTAATCACTGAGTTGAATATGGAGGCCTATGTACAGCCCCCAGTTGCACAGCTGCTTAGTCAGCAAGGCTGGGAAATCCAGAGTAACTAGAGCCAGGCCCAGGGAGAGGGCGCTGTGCAAGCTGAGGCTTGAAGACAAGTCAGATTTGAACAGATGGGTAGAAAAAAGGGGGGTATTCTGAACCAAAGGATTGAATATAGGGAATAGGTCCCATATCTCTTCTTGCTTCTGAGAGTATTTTATACAGCAGGTGGATGGCTTCTCTTGGTTGCCTCTTACTTTATTTTGAATCTGTTTGCAAAATATGCTGTCACCTGCCCTCCCCCACCATATAATCTTTTATCTAAACAAGATTTCATATCCTGGTTTGCTAAAATAGACAGTCTTGTGAAGGTTACAGGTAAGCACCATAACTGTATGAGTTATTTGGAAAAGTCTCCAATTTTCACTTTATCGGCCCTAGGATGGATATGAGTGAACTATGCAAGAGTCATTTGCTCCAGGAGGTGATACAGCAGCTGACCCAGCTTTGAAGTAGAAACATTACAAATCCTCCAGCTTCTAATGGTCTCTTTAGCTGGAACTCAGAGATTCTCTGGTTCTACCCTTCAGCATCCTAGGTGTCATAGCCATTTGTGAGGATCATGCTAGGCAGCAGAGAGACAGTCTACTGAAACGCAGGAGCCTTGGACTTGCTCCTAACCCAGTGGAGATGGGGTAGGGAAGGCATTTGAGTACTTGCTGTAGACTGCTCACCTCCTTTGAGGGTCTCCCTTCTCTATCCACAGCCTTCCCCCATTCCCTGAATGCAACACTCGTCTGAGTTGATGTCAGGCTGGCAAGAACCATGAGCTGGCAGAACCAACTTGGGCCCTTCAGCTTGGTCATTATCTCATCTAAATGCAGCTGAAACAATCTCAAGCCCATAGCCCAAAAGAATGTGAGACACATGACATTTTAAACTTTCTAGTAGTCACACTAAAAAAGAGTAAAAGAAACCAGTGACATTAATTCTAATAACATTTTTAAAATTCAATAGATTTCAAACACTATAATTCCCACATGTAATTAATATTTTAATGAGACATTTTAATTTTGCAGTAGTAAGTTTTCAAAATCTGGTGTGTATTTTACACTTACAACACATCTCAATTCAGATGCTAAATTTTCCTTGTAAATATTTGATCTGTACTTTGATTTCATCAATTTTACTGTTGAAAAGCAGAGTTGCTCCTAACATAAAGTTTTCCAAATTACTGAATCTATTATCAGCTTTTACATTTAAATTGATTAAAATAAAATAAATTGAGCTTCTCAGTTTCACTAACCACATTCCAAGTGCTCAATAGCCACTTGAGGCCAGTCCCCACCTTGATGAACTCTGCAGATGTGGACTGCTCAGCTCCTTTGAGATGCCCTTGAAGCCTAGGGGATTTCCACACAGAAGTAAACCCTGGAGGAACATTTTGGGGTCGAGGAATGGGAATGGGAGATAGAAGACGAGGGACATCTAGGTGAAGGTGGAGACAAGAAGGCAGGAAAATGAAGCCAAGATGAATGATTAGCATCAGACTCTGGACTCTTTCCTTCTCTCCTCCTACCTTGTACCCTGCCACAGGGGGCAGCTTCTTGACCTTCCTGGCCCTGACCACTGCCTGGGGTTCAGGTGCTCAGGAGTGTCAGTCCTGGGGCATTCCAGTGCTTTGGCCAGAGTGTGGACTGCAGGCTCATGGACACCTGATTAACAGCAGAAGGAGCTTTCTGTAGCACCCGGCCAGGTGCCAAAAATGTACCTCCCTCCCCTCCCTGCTCCACACGTTCTTTCCCACCTCTGGTCCCCTTGGAGCCCTGAGGTTCCCACACTGGCAAGGCATTTCTAGGCTTCTGTAGCCTGGCAGAATGAAGGGAACAGTTTCTGGCAAAGTCTGCTTTTGTAGCTAGCTCTGCTGGCCCCTTATGTTATGAACAGAGGACTTCCTTCAAGATAGCAGAAGTCCCAGGGCTGTTCCCAGGAGGAAACCTGATCTCTGGGGCCACCTGCTGGGAGGTGGAGGCACCATCCTCAGTCTGCACTGAGGCCACCTCTGTGTAGCCATCCAAACTGGAGATGACTCGGCAAGGACACAACACCCTCAGGCTCAGATTCATCTGTCACAGGGTGTGGGTGGAAGGTGTGAGGCCCAGACAATGCTACAGGAGTCCCCCTTTCCACCCATGCCCCTTCATTACAGAATGACTTTGAGAGATAAAGGCCGAAGTACCTTGCCATACTGAATAAGGCACCATAAAAAGGTTATCGAAACCATTATGACTGTAGGTCAACAAGCAATTGGACAACGCCTCTCGTGTGGATACTCTTTACTGTTACAGTGCCCTTCACTCCATTATGCAATAACCCAGGAAAAGGTAAAGCATATTCAAAGTGGGAAACAAAAACTCTGGCTACTCAGGTCAAACTCACAGCTACTGCACCAGAATCTTTGGTGACAGGGCAAGGGCCACCTTCACAGCTCCAGTAACACAGAAACCTTCTTGTAGTAGAATTCACTATGATTACCCCAATCATGCAGTAACCTCATAAAACCCCACAAGTCAGGGAAGAAACGTGATCTCTACTCACATGACCAGCTATGACCTCTCAATATTGTAAGTCAAAGTCATTATTTCTGCTTGAGATCATGCATTTCAAATATTAACTTTTAATTACCTGCAATGAAGACAACAAACACAGGGCCCATGGGTTCAAGGGTAAATGGAGACCTCTAAAGCAATTCTGTTTTGGTGATGAGAGTCAACCAGCCTTCTCTGGAAGAAGCAAAGAATTTTCTAGAGAAATAGGCAACATGACCAGTTAGTGACTCTGCTGAAACTAGATATCCAGCAACAGGTCCGGTGCATCTTGGTGTTTCTCCTTCCTCACCATCCAAATGCACAATCATTTGAAAAGTTTTTCTGAATATGATACATGGAGGACAGGGAAGCCACTAACAAGCATAGCTCAGGGGCTTATCACTCCCTCCTTACCATTGGGTGAATCTGAATTCATCTCCCTCCTATCCTTCAAAATAATTTCTAGCTGATTTTCTCATACCTCCTCATTTAAGAGCAAAGATTTAATGAACAACTTCCATATGCTAAGGGCAGATTAAGTGGTGGGAACCCAAGATGAGTTAGGCAGGGTCCCTATATTCAATGAGTCTGTCTCCCTAGGCAAACAGAAGCCACTAACCATAATATATAGCAGTGCGTATAGAATGCTATGCATCCATGAGCAAAAGAATGGCTAAACAAATTGTAATATATCCGTGGAATGGAATAATTCAGCAATAAAAGGTTGCAAATTTTGATATACACTAAAATAAGGATGAATCTCAGAAAATTATATTGGGTAAAAAAACTAGACACAATAGCACATTTCATGTTATTCTAATATTAAAATTTTTAAAAAGTGAAATTAATTTATGGTGATGGGAGTGGGAATGGATGAAGGCTCTTGGAAGGTGGTATGACTTGACTGAAAAGGAACAGGTGGGAAACATCAGAGGGTGATTGGGGTGGGGGTGACACAGTTGAACATATTGGCCAAAACCCATCCATCCAAGCACAGATCATTTTATTGTATGTAAATTATTCCTTGAATTTAAAAAAGCATAAATATTTACAGTGGAGAAAACCACTTGCTTCTCTAATTCTAATGAAGACAGGAAAGACTTCAGACAAGATGTGACATTTAAGCAGGACCTTGAGGAGAAACAGAATGTTTTCATCTGTGTTTTTCCTTATAGGGTTTTGTTATCAGGGTAACACTGGCTCACAGAATGAACTGAGTGTCATCGCTTCCATTTTTCAGAAGAGTTTTTGTAGAATTGGTATTGTTTCTTTTTAAATGTTTCTTAGAATTCTCCAGTGAAGTCTTCTAGGAGTTTTCTTTAGAAAAATTACAGGAGATTTCTGGTTAGCCCAACATACAAAGAGTTTAGAAGTCAGTACTCCCATCCTTACATGGAAAAAATATGCAAATCAATAATTTTATTGAACCCATCAGAGAACTACCATCTCAGGGCAAACTACCACCCTGAAATCTGGAGAGATGAGAATCATCCAGACAGCCACAATTGTAATTTTCTTACCTGGAACAGAAGCTGCTGGAGCCATAAACTAGTAAAGATTCTTCAATGTTAATTCTGACAAACCACTAGAGTTTTGAGTATAGACTAGCCAGAAAATGAGATATAGTGTCATTGTTGTAAAATACATCCAGGGGTTTCCCCACAACAAAGGCCTACGCTCTAAGGAAAAAAGACTTTACCAGAGCCCCATCCCACCTGGGGCAAAGGGATTTGTCCCAATTCCATTCCCTTTGGTCTTCCTGTCTCATCTAACCTGGCCTGGGGTGAGGGGATGACGGGGGATTGGAGGAGTGGGGGGAGGTTGAGACACTTAACCCAGGGATGTCAGCCTATTGAAAAACTGATATTTTGATTTTAGGATTACAGGACATGTTCCGTCCTCCACATCTCATTGCCACACTGACAGGGTTCCAGTGTATAACAGTGGATTAGAGCCTACTGAGCTGCAAGATGCAGACTTTAAGCCCCAAGTGAAGTGGGGACATTAAAAACAAGACCAGTAGAGGGAGCCTTTGGCATATACAACTTCAGCAAACATTAACTGTAGTTCAACTGCTGCCCAGTTTATCCTAAAATTAACACTAAAGGCTTAGTCAATTTCTAATATACAAAAGGTTATGTTATTTTCAGCAATAATTACAATGCATGTTAAGAGGCAAGAAAAATCTGAAAAGATATAAGGCTATTCAGATTTTTTAATACTTGAGTGAGATTTGTGAATTTTTTTTTAAAAAAGGAATTTTTTGTTTGATATTTTAAATTTATTGGCATTAAGTTGTCCATTCTATTCCCTGTTACTTAATAATACAGGATCTATAGTGATGTCTTCCTCTCAATCCTGATATCGGTGCTCTTTTTTCTCCTTATTGATCTGTTCAGTTTTATCAATGTTAACCAGACTTTTAATTTTCTCTGTTGTTTCATTGCTATCTGATTTCTATTTTTATTATTTCTTCTCCTCTAGCTTTAGTTTTCTTTCACTAATTTCTTAAGGGGGAGCTTAAGTCATTAATTTTGAACATTTTACTTAAGTATTCAAGGCTAAAAATCTCCCTCTTTAATCCCCTGCAAGGACTTCATTTCAGCCATTCTCCCCTGCACCATTTCCCACTTCCTACCATGCCCTTCCTATCCTATGACAGCATGTTCTCAATATGCCATTACAGTTCGTATCATAAGGAGAAGAGAGAAACATCCTCATGTGTCTGCAAATCCTCCTCAGGCTATCATTCTTCCACAACTTCTCTGCTCTTGATGTGGCATCTCCATCTCTCTCAGTCTCTAGGGTCTACTCTGTTTGCATGTTTTCCCTTTTCTCTATGCTGAAATTGCTTTTATCAAAGTCACCAGCATGTTTTCTTTATACAACAATCAATTCTCCCTCTTCTCATTACTCAGCAGCTTTTGACATCCTTTGCTACTGGCTCTCAGCCCATCACACTCCTCTGGTTTTCTTTCCTTTTTCATCAACTTTTTCCCCCTTTTACAACCCCTACTTGCAGTGCTCCAGGGCTCAGTCCTCAGCTACCACCTTTTCTTCTTGATCTATATCCACTACCCGAGTATCCCTCACCCATTCCTAAAATTTGAAGCATCTCCTGTATTCAAGGTATGCTATATTATTCACAATTCATAGTGCATTTTCCTCAAAATAACACTGTGTGTGGTTAATTAAATGCCCTTCAAGTACCAAGATCTCCACCATCATGTTCTTCTCCATCTTTTAAAGTGTCAGAGAAGTGTCCATGAGCATTAGGAGTTATTTCTGATTTTGAAGAAGCCCTAAAAGAATGAATAGCTTTACTCTTAGGTAGAAGCAGGATTATAGTGATCCACACTTAAGTGACAAGTACCACCATAAGGAAGGACCTGACTGGAGTTGAGAGTTTATTATGGTCATCTGAGAACATATTAAATCCTCAATCCTACTTAGATTGGGATCATAAGCCAGTTGAATGGTTCTTCTATTCTGCAGTTTCAATGAGGTGAAAGTAAAATAGATACTTCTTTCCACTGAAGGTTTTTCACACTGAGGTCACAGAGAAACCTCCATTACAACAAAATGTCAAATAACAATTAAAGAGGGCCACAATTTTAATGTGGAAAGGGCCTGACACACAGGGGATGTGTGCCTCTTTCCCTGGCTTACTAGTTAAAAGAACAGAGCCCTTGGTTTTTGATGCAATCTTAGCCAGTAATATGGTCAACATAAACCTGAAGAGCCTCATTTCAATCCAGAATGAACTGGCATCATATGACCTTGAGTTACAAGTCATCACAATACCCTACATATGCTAATGGTAAAGGCCAAGCTCCATGCCTTAGCTACAGTCTCCTCACCATGGGGAGGAAGAACAAAGGGACTCTATAGGCTACTCAGGACCACTGGGGAGAAGTAAAACTGCATTCTCTTCTTTACCTGACTCTGATCCTCAGCCATTATCACATGTTTTATAAATTCACTATTTTACAATTATTTAGGAGGTTTTTCAAAGTAAGATTTTAGGATCTTAGAATTATTCTCTATTTGTTTTAAGAAATCGCAAGAAATTTTCTGAACCAAAATATTTCTGAACATACAGAGATGAATTTTAAGTTAAAGAACTTTAAAGAATTTTAAACTAAAGAACTTCTTTTTGAAAAAGTATCAAGCATCTCCTGTATTCAACGTATCCTATATTATTCACAATTCATGGTGCATTTGATCAGTTATAAACAACAGACTATATAGCCATGTTTTAAATGCTCAAAACCCAAATAGATCCTGAAGGAAAGACTACTCCAAAGAAGGGGAAACATGGGAAATGAGTAGTACCAAATGATCTTTTTATTATTCACTGAAAAATACAGGTCTGCAAAGAGTCTACTGCATTGTGTATGGAATGCAAGGTTGGATGTTGCAACTGTATAGGATGGAATGTATAACTTTTATAAACTGTTACATATTTTACACACAGACAGTCCCCAACTCTTCTAAAATTTACTAGAAGTAAAACCTCTTAGTAAATAAGAAATATAAGCATTTGTTATCATAAGCAAAATGTTCTAAGCAAAGCACTTCAAAATATTTTTTTGTGACATCTACCTTGTCTACCTGGAAGTAGGAATGGTGGGTCCCAGAAAAAACTAAGTAAAAGCCAACACCCTTGAGGAATTCTTCCCAGGAAGCAGGCTGCTAGTACCCTAGACAGGTTGCCACCCTGGCTAGTTGGCAAAGCTTCAGTGTCACCCTGGGGCCCACACTGACTACTAAACCCTGTTTGGGGGCTGGGCTGAAGTAATTGGAAGGAGTACTAGTTACAAGGAATCTTCTGTCACAACTGCATACGTTGCATCCACTCTATAGATAAGAACACCTTGTTTTTCCAGTGTCAATCTGCCACTCTCAGCAGTCACTGGAATGTGCTTGAGAAGAAAATTAACACTGGGAACAGAAATCATTTTCTATGCATTCTGCAGATGATATCAGTACTTCCTTTCAGTCATGTTTTCAAGAAGGTCAAAAGGGCCATTGCTACTATAACACCTAGGCCAGGATCAAGGCAATTGGACATCTCTGGTTATGATTACTCAACTGAAATAAAAAGTATAACCTATATTAGAAAACAACAGAATCAGTATCAGTTAATTACATGGCAAAATATTTAAGCACTGCAACAATATTCAAAATTCCAAGGTCAATGTTAACTGTCCACATTTTCCACCAAACAGAAAAATCCTGCATGGAGGAAAGCATGCAGCACCAACACCAACTCCTCTCCAGTTATTACCAGGACTCAGAAAGATCTGTATAGATAACAAATGCAAAAAAAAAAAAAAAGGCATTTCAATACAAACATAGCAACAGAGGAAGTCTACACCTCCCTCTAGGCTTCCTTGGCAGATGGCAAAGCAGCCTGTTTGAAACAAGTGCCTGAACTGACCTTGGTAATATTCACATTCTAAGAGAAATCAGGTCTACATCATTCCCTTATTCATAGGTAACCAAAGATTATTAAATAATTTCCTGAACTAAGGCAATAGTCTGACCATAAAAAACTTCTGAGTTTTTATTAAATGAGATGATACAATATTTCAGCTTCTTAATATTAAGTTATTGGTGTACAGAGAACTTGATCAAAGCTCCAATATGAATAATATTAAAATCTCAGATTTTAGATATAGGAAAATATTTTATCAGAGTATTCACTTAAGAGATTTATATATAATTCAGGCTGGGGATATAGCTCAGTTGTAGAGCACTTGCCTAGCATGCATGAGGCCATGGGTTCAGTCCTCAGTACCACAAGAGAGAGACAGAAAGAGCAGCGGGAGAGAAAACGGGGAGGCAGAGAAAGAGGAAAGGGACAGAGACCATGTTCTGCTAAGAATAAATCCCAATTCTATGGGCATCTTATTCCCCTTAACTCTGTACAGTAAAATTCACTGTTCAGTTACTAAGTCCTTGTCTCTTCTAGTCCAAGAATAATCTTGTATAAAGCTGGAAAAAAAAAAACCTGTGAACTCCAGCAGAAAATACTAGTACTGGTGCTGTAGTTACCTTTAGGGGAATAATTACAATTACTTATTAGGCTGGTAGAAGCTCTACTCCTTTTTCATCTCTAGATTGACATATTCTAGTATTTTAAACACGGTGAGGTTTCATTGACAAAACTCTAGTCCATGAGTAAAGTTCTGGCCTCTGGAATGATGTACAGTTTGCTCAAAAAGCTGAATGCACTTCTATTTAAAGCACATTCATTATTTTTTCCCATCATGGTTCTGTCACATTCATTCATCTAGTGTGTTATATTGAACCCTTCATTGCTGCTTTTTTTTCTTTTTCTTTTTGGTGGGGGGGACCTTCTTCTGCATATATAGGATTCACAGAAGTATCCTTTTAATGTATAAATTCCATTTCACAGTATCAGCTCTCCAAAGACAAAAACTGGGAAAAATTTCCAGTTAGTATAATCATAATTCACTAGGATTTCCTCTCCATAAAGGAAATTTTAAAAATGTTATTTAGAAGCTGAACAAACACCTTGGATATTCTTCTAAAGAGAATGAATGCTATATCACTGCTATCAAAACCCAGATACCTAATAAATCTAAAGATTATATGGATATGTAATAGCAAAAAATCTGGCAGTTTAAAATACATTTTTACAATTTTATACTATACCATTTGGGTAAAGGAGCTGTTTAGAATTGTTAATGACAACTTTGTCTGCCTGGATGCTGGCTGGCTAGATTCAGCTAAAAACAGTAACAGGAGCAAATGAAAAGTGTCCAAGAACATCCTTTTGGCTTATTTTCCTTGAGCTTTTGGTCACATTTCCACCAGCTCTAGGGAAGCCTGTCCCAGGGTACAGTTCTCAGTTCTCTGTTCAGTTGCTTAGGGATAAAACACGGGGCTTTACCTCACCTAATCCAGTACCTGGCACTCAGTAAACACTGCAGCTTTAAACTAAGAAAAGACTCAAAAGACTTTGCACAATTCTTGATTTTGTACTTTCCAAGGAAATAAAAAATTAATCTTAAACTGAATTTATACTTAAAAAAATGCAGTGCCTCAAAAAAGCAAAATCTAGAATGGAAAAATTTCAGGAGAATATACCTTATTAATTTAATCTTACTTTGGCTAAATTATCAGAGTAAGTCAGTGTAATTTATTATTGTATTGAGAAGCACAGTCTACCATGTTTTTCTAAGATGGTATTAGTGAAATATATGTGAATGGTTCAGAGGTGATAGCCCTTTAGCCTTTTGTGAATTCATAACATAAAAAGATAAAGGATAACTAGAATTTGACATTCAGAAATTTACTTGCTTAGCACAAGTTGAGTCAGGAGACAGTTAAATATCAGAATCTCATTTACTTAGGATATTAAGAAGTGCTTTTCAGCCTTGCCACACATCAGAATTACTTGGAAGCTTTCAAAAATTACCAAATGCTCAGGCCAATTAAATCTGGAGTGGAGAGCCCGGAATCAGTATTCCTTCTGTTTCCCAGGTGTCTCTAACATGCAGCCATCACGCAGACCACAGAGGCATCCTTTTGAGAGACCTGTTTCTTGAAAGCCAAGCAAATGGAATTCCTATCTAGATAGCTTTGCTTTTCCAAAATTCCACCAGAAAAGGGGATTTCTTTCTTTCTTACTCTTTTTAGAAAAAGGCACTGTTTTGCTTCCTCTATTGACACAGCCTGCTGTTGGTAGGAACTGATTGTTGGAGGTTATCTAGAACGTTGGTGGTAAAGAAGAAAGTCCTTGTCTTGGCAGAGCAGGCAGAATTTCAGGCTTCGGCAGCTGCCTCCAGCAACAAAAAATGCCCAGATGCCCATGAACACCATGATTACGTATGCTGACACCAGATTTATTCCATAGTGAGGACTTAGGAAGGTCTGCAAAGAAAAAATAAATCAACTTGGGTAATAATACAAGCTTATTAAACATGTGGAATAACCAAAGACAGGAAAATATGGAATATTCTCAAAAGCTAGACTGTTGTTTCAACAAACTACAATGCATGTCATGTGTTAAGAATCCACAAAAGCATCCAGAACCAACTAATCAAGAAAGACTTGTCTGTAGATCCTGTGCTTTGCTAGCTTCTACTGACAACCCTAGATGATAGTCACTTGCCAAAACCTAATGGAATACTCAGTAGAAGACACATGTTATAATCTAGCCCAGGTTGGTATCCATTTCTGTGTTAATTGTCTATTAGAATTTTCAAGAAAGTGAGGCAAGTCCAGATTAGTATGAATCCTTAGTATTTAAGGAAACATGTGGAAATTGAGTCTCTTTTACAGCTGGACAATTGCTATTGTACAAAAGTTTATTCATTTACAAAATACTGATAGGAGCCAGGCACTGTGGTGCATGCCTGTAATCCCATCAGCTCGGGAGGCTGAGACAGGAGGATCTCAACTTCAAAGCCAACCTCAGCAATGGCAAGTCACCAAGCAACTCAGTGAGATCCTGTCTCTAAATAAAATACAAAATAGGGCTGGAGATGTGGCTCAGTGGTTGATTTTAACCCCTGGTATGCTCCCTGACCCTGCCTCCTGAAAAAAAAATATTGATGGAGGTGTAGTTCACTGTAAAGAAGATATTTAGCATGCACAAGATCATGGGTTCAATATCAGCCCTAAAACAAAACTAAATAACAACCACCACATCAAAAACCTCTCATGGAGTGCCAAAAGGCACTGGGTCATGCATTAGTGAAGGCCAGAGTCTTCATGCTAATGGAACTTATAGACTAGCCAGTGGGGCAGGTAATGAACAAAGAAGTTAATTACAAATCATGATGAATGCTAAGACAGAATAATTATAATTGTGATGATGTTAGGTATTAAGAACAGGCTTATATACTTAGGTTGGTCAAGGAAGATCCTAAGAAAATAGCATTTAAACAAAGACATATGGGAGGAGAAGTGAGCTAACCCTCTGTAGGCCACAGGAAGGATCAGAGAAGGAGGCAAAGAGCTGGATACCATCAATAACTGAGAAGAGTCAGTATTAATGATGGTTAGGAATATGTAGGATCAGCAGATCAGGTCAGAGAGGAAGGCTGGGGTCAACTATGCAATGTTTTGGTAAGGAGCATTAATTTTGTCCTCAGTGCAATTGTGGATC